AAAATTCATTCTGATGCCAGCAGGGGGGGGTGCTCTTGACTGCTGCTAGTTAAGAGATTCATTGAAAGTGCAACATAATGGGAAGGGAGTTTTGTAATACGAGTCATATAGCTCTCTTGATTAACGGGCCTGTTAGGTTAAGAGGTACATTGTTCCAGGACTACGTGGTGTGATAACAAGAAGGGCAGGGAGTGGAGCTTGCCATGGTGTACCTCCTTAGCGTTGAGAAAGGAGAAAAAAAGTATTGCAGTTAAATTCAGCAAACAGACAAGAAGCCAGTGGCTGAATTTTTCTGCCTTTCATGTTTATACTAAAACCTCACTCACGTCATTTATCCCTCACTGTCAATGGCTCCGAGAGTTCAGGCATCTGGAACTCTGCAGAGCTGTGTCAGTGAATGTAACGTCTCCTTCGTGAGTGCAATATTATTCAGATTAAAGATTTCAAAGGTTTGGGGTGATCAGGTTATCTTATTTGTGGTTAACATTACAGTAATGTTTGTTTTCAAATAAGTTATATGTTCCTTTAAAGACACAGCTTGATATAGTTATAAGCACCATATCTAAGTTTAAATGAAAGCTGAATGTTACAAGCATATGTAGGAAATAGGCTAGCTTTTGTAAGGTCTGTCTTGACTGTTATTGTGAAGTAACATAGAGAAATATTAAGTGTTGAACCTTAGGCTGGCCAAGCACCTCTTTCAACCATGACAAAGGATAATTATCTCAATTTATGATGGTGGTATCGCTGTCAACTATGTCTTTTTTTTTTTTTAATGCACTACTTCTTGACAGAATTTTAAGGCATGTATGCTTAGGTCAACTAAGATACATGCCTTCAGCATTACAGGACAAAGTCATGGCTGAACACGGGGTGCTGCCTGCATTGTCTGAATTTTTGCTAAAATGCCCAACTAGAATTAGCAGCTAGAGAAAGCCTGAGTATGTTTGCAAGTGGTATCACATCACTTAGTTGTAACATTGAATGGATAATTGAAACTGTGTTGACTTGATTCCATCAGATTAGCGCTGTTACCTGAGTAAGACTGAAATCACAGGAGGTTTCAAACTTGGAGGAGTTCCTTAGACAGGATTCAGACTGAGCCGGGTGGCTCCAGTCAGCAGCAGATGTCTGGAATTGCTGATATTGGCCTTGGGATGGAGCTAAGGGAGCATGGGGGCTACTTTTTTCCAAGTGGGATGTCACATAGATATTGTCTGGTCTACTATAAATCCCCTTACCTCCCAAACTCCATGGATTGATAGGGAGCCCGTTCCAGTGCTTGATGAACTTAAATACCTAGAACATTCGCAATATTTCTCCTTAGTCACTTTTACAATGAGCAGATGAATTCTGCTGTGTGCTCCTAAATCTTTCCCATCTATATTATTCCGTATGTCTGTTTGACCTGGTTTTTGGAACTTTTTTCCAGTTTATAAAGATTGTTTTAAACTATTATCCTGTCCTCTTAAGTGTTTGCAGACTCTTTGCCTGTTATCATCTAGCAATTTTGCAATTTACTCTATTTCATTGTCTAACACACAACAACATATAGAAATGACTCATGTCTAGGACAGGTTATGATTTGGCAGAGGACTATTAATTAATAATCTGAGTAAAATTTATACCATTGTTGTCTGGGCTATGGTCCTCTGTTATGGCAGTGCCATAGACAGTAATGTCAGTGGTTGTAACAATATGTTACATCCACTGTCTTCCTTATGCTTACCAGGCCAGTTAACTCGTCAAAGAGAATTGCACTGTGCTGATAGATTCATGATGATATTCTGTATTACTCAGTATTTGTTTAGTAATTTATTTGGTTGTCTGGGTACCTGTAATTTTTGAGTTTTACCTTTTTACCATGTTAGAACCAGAAATTTGATGTGCCTCCAAGGTCTCTGTCTTGAACGAATTCCTGAAGATAATCATTAGCAGCCACAAGGATTGCCCAGGCTAGTTCCTTTGAGGCACTGTAGGGTAAATTTCAACAGCATCTGCTGACTGGAATATATTGAACTTACCAAATGTCTTGTAGTTAGTTCTTTGTATTCTCCGGATCATATTCCTGTGACGTGTTTGTCATCTTGTTTCTGAGAAATCTCGGTATTTATTGAAAAAGGCCAGGAGGTCCCTTGCATGCAGATTCACTGGTGAAAGCCTTCCGAGCTCCAGGCGAGCAGTGTCTGACTTCAGTTGTAGGCAACCTGAAAAATAGGATCTTTGGAGGATATATGATCTCCTCTGTTTGACTTTCATTTTTAAGTGAAACCAAGACTTTAGTTGTCACAATTGAAAGAAAAGCTTTAAAGGCAGTTAATGCAAAAAATCATAAGCCTATGTAGAAACTGGAAATAAGATGTGAACTACCTTATTTATATTGAGAAAGGGAATCGCTGAGGAGCGGTGTACAAAAGCCGAGGGCTGGTGGACAAGGGCCCAGAGAAAAGCCCCCCTGAGCATAGTTCAAGCAGTTTATTTTACAGAGCCTCTTTCTTCATTTAGCAGAGTGCATAGAAGAAAAAAATCGGTGGAAAATTACTCTTGGCAAAATGGAAATTTTACTAGAAATGTCTGGTTTCTCTTAAGTAACAGGATTTGGTTCCTTTTTTTGAGAGGAAGGGTTTTTTGCGCAGTTTGTCAGTGGAAGCACTTTCAAGTTTAGATTACTATTTTTAGTTACATTTTTTTTAGCTAAAATAAATTTGCAATTTGTTTTCTCTAACATCTTTCATTAAAAACTTGAGCAAAAAAGCAATAGTTTGAATGGCTGACTTCTCAACACTTAAAAGTTGAGATTCTTCCTTTTAATGCTGGATCTTCTGCTTGCAGTGCTTGCTAAGGTGTAGCTTCACCTGCTTTGAGCTAGACTTCAGCAGGCTGATGCTGTGGCCGTTGGGGTTGCACTTTCTGGTATCTTGAAGCTTTGCTTTTGGCCACGGCGAGGTACAGAGGAGGAAATTAAGAACAGGCAATCGGCGTCAAATGAGAATATAACAGCTTAGGCCTCAGCCTGTTCTTAGGACTCGGCCTGACGCAGACATTGCAGTCTCTTCAGTGAAGATATTGCAGTCGTAGATTGACTTTCACGGTCTCAGGGTTTTACGATTCTCTGTATTTCCTGAGTTAACTTGTAGAATTTTTTCTGTAATTAGTAAGATGTCAGTTGAGTAGTGATTTGGCCTCTAGCCAGCAGGGTCTCGGTATTTTTAGCTTCATGTTTTAAAATGAACCAAGCATGTAAGCAGACAGTGTGTTTCTTGAGTTACCACGTTTCTTAAGTTATACGCTGCTGAGCAGGTGTATCTGCCTTTGTTCCTGTCTGTTTTCAAAATAAATAGTTCAGTGACAATGTGCTTTTTCAAAACAAAAAATTGGGAGGACACTTTCTCCTTTATTTTACAGACCTGATTAGCACTCTGAAATGCATTCCTCTGTGGTGGTAAGGAGATTAAATAATGTTTAGACATTAGTGAGACATTGCCCTCAGGAACCTTTAAGAAGAAGGTGGAGCTTCTCGTCTACCAACGGAACTTTCTGTCCACTTCCTGCTTATCCCTTCCCTAGCATTTACCTGTCAGTGGCTGAGCTATGGAGATACTGGAAGCAGGAAACAGGAACAGTTAGATTTCCAATTGTGTAAGTGTCTTCCAGATCTCATAGCAGCCCATCAGCCTTCACTCCTATTGCTAACTTAGGATAAAATATGAGGTGTCTTGTTCTGCTGTTCTTTCGCTTGTGGAGTTTTTATGTTGTCTTATTTTTGCAAGTTTGGACCCAGAGTCTTAGCCAGGATATTAACAACAGTCAGACTTTTAAGTGTAAAAGATTCAAGGCTGATAAAAGCACAGAATATAGCTGTTTGTGTAGGTTATCACATATGTTGGTTCTTCACTCTGATCTATACAGTCGCTTTTAGGGGGGATCCAGTCCTGGACACAGATAATTATAGTGTCATTAATTTAGGAAGAACTTTGGAGATGGAAATGGGGTGGGAAAATGATATTTTCTTGTAAGCTATTTAGGATGCGGACTTTCTTTTGCCTCACACAAGGAGATGGTGTTCTCTTTCTTGTGGAGCTCCTTGACCATTGTTTCCATGCGAAGCAGTAATGGCAATGTTAAGAGTAATCTGTTCTATCTGTGCCTCTGAGTCCGAAGTCATCCTGTGCCACTAGAATGCAATAGAAAAGCTCTGCTGTGTATGACATTAGCACAGCTTGCCAGAACGACCGACCGCAGTATTGTGTTTGTACTATGCAGATTTTCATGAGGATATGTTCTTGGCTGATAGCTGAGTTGCTGGCCTAGAGAAACAGTTGACTGCTTCTCATCCTTCATCCCAGTCTTTGATTTGCCTAGTATTGCTAGTCCTTCTGGATCAGTCCTCCTCCCTTCCCCCCCAAAAAAATCTTCTTTCCGTATTTAATGTGTTTGGCAAATACTTTTTGCACAGGCCTGTTTATTCTAAAACTGTAGTAAATGTGCTTTCCAACACAGTATTGTTGAAACGCAGCGACTGTGACAGTGATCACAGTGTGGGAGGACGCTGCCGGTCGCTGTGGAGGAGGGCGTTTTAACCCAAAGGACCTGGGCACTGCTCTTGAGAAACAGGGCCAGGAACTGCTTGTTACGCAGAGATAGAGACTTAGGGACTTCTCATCCTGAAGTCTCAGGTACAGTAAAATGTATCTTGCACAATTTTTGCATATCTTTATCCTGGATTATTTCTTCTGGAAAGGCTTTGTGTCTCCAACTTTCATGGAACTACAGGCCTTTCTTCTCGCGAGTGGTCAAATAACGATCACCAGAAGGCTCCCAGGTTCGGTTTGCTGTGTGTGCGCTGAAAGCTGCTGGGGAGCAGTGCCTCAAACCCTGTTTGTACTGTGGCTATCACAGCAGGTTCAGTTGCCTAACCTTAGTGCTGATAAGCAGGTTACTGTAACTTTGCAAAGAGCTCAAGTAACCGCTAATTAAGCTTTCTCTCTTTGCCTTTGCAGGTGGTTAGTCGAGTGGCGGCTCAGCAAGGATTTGACTTGGATCTTGGATACAGGCTACTGGCAGTATGTGCAGCCAACAGGGACAAATTCACTCCAAAATCAGCTGGTAGGAAAAACCTTTTTTTGGTGTATTACTGATTCTTGGATGGTTGTATTCTGAATAAATGCTACCTGTGCCTCTATTGCGTTCTTTAGAAACCAAAATCAAGCACGTCTGATGGTAATAATGCTGCTGCTTTTAGCATTTCAATGCTGTGCTGCTCTGAAGATACATGGCTTTGGAAATTTGTATTTTCCCCAACTAGTGTCATTTTTTCCCTATTTGATGTTATAGATGAAATGTTGCTGCCAGAAACACGGGTGTTCAGTAATTTCATGGTGGGAATGAACACACTCAGGCCCCTCCATCTTGGTAAACCATTGATTTTCTGTCATGTGTCACCCTCTAAATCTTCCACGTTCGTTCTGTGCTCCGTCATGTATCTATTGCCAAACTTGTACTCCTTGACTGCATATATCTGGACAGACAAGTACTGTGGTTTCTCATACATCTAGTCATTAGCTTTAGAACTTTGAGCCAGGACTAGGTGGCAGTGCTATTGGTGTGGTATTAAGTAGCCATTTTTCCAGTATTTTATGGCAATAATCTGTTACAGGGCTCTGATCAAGTAGCAGTATTTGATCATGATGTATTGTTGTTATGTCTCTGTATAGTAAAAGTAGAAAATGCACTTCAGGGTCTTCCTGCTTCTCACATGTTTGATTTAACTGGAGCACTTAATTCTGGTTCTCCTTTTCTTAGCTGATGAATGTCAACATAATGTGCACTCGCTTGGAAAACAGGCAGATAACTGTTCCATTCCAGACTGAACGTGGATAACTTGTCTGCTTAGTATTAAACTGGTATGCAGTCCCCGTTTTAGAACATCAGAAAAGGTTGCCTTCTTCCAGAACAGTAATTTCTAGTCAGCTGGTGGGGTTTCTTTTCATGTTCCTTTTCAGTTTTTGTCAGCCCCAAACTTCTTTATTTATGGTTACCTTTTGTCCTAAGTGCTCTAAGCAGTTCTTCATGCAAAAGTGACTTTTACATCAAGGCATATTCACTGGGCATACTGATTTATTTTTTGTGTTGGAAGGGGTCATTAATTTTACTAAATGTTTAATAACCTGTCTGATTTTTCATCTGGCAAAACTGTGGAAAATAAAATGTTCAGCTGACCAGGCCCAATCTGCGTATTTTCTGAATTACTAGTAAGTTTCTCCAGTAGTTAACTATTACATCTCCTCTTCTTGATCTTTCTTTTTTTTTTTTGTAAAGCTATTCAAATGAGGATTTCCAGCTATGAGTGCATTAAGCAATAGATTAAAATTTTATTTCCTTTGAAAATGTACCTATTGTAAGAAGCCGTAATAATTCTTTTCGAGATGTGTGTCTGTCAGTATGTGAGTGACGGTGAGGTTGTTGAGTCTTTGGGTCTTTTCATGTTGTAGTCCCATCTCCTTCAGGGCTTGGATGAGGAGAGTCTTCAAAACCACTGCTTGGTCGTCACATCATAGAAAAGCCTGGTGTCAGTGTTGGTTTAATACCAGTAATTACTTCTGGGGAATATATGTGCTTTTTTTCAAGTAATTACCCAAGCAATCTGTGCAGGTTTTAGTCGTTCCATTGCTAATTGATACAACACTGGGAAAGCTGGTGATGAAAGTGTGTGCTCATCCCAGTGTATTCTAAAAACCTTCTCAATCCTCTTCTTTGCTTCCTGTTTCCCATTTTGCATATACAACCAATTTATTTCCAATGGTGTTAAATGTGTGGTTTCGCAACTATGTAGTTTTACCATGTATACAGTTGTTTCACTAGTTATTCCAGGGATTTCCTTACATGTACCTGTGTTGTTGTTTTTAGTGCTGTTATTGTCTGTATTAAGTACTCATATTTTTGGGCAACATATTTTGTGAATTGTCACATATAGCACTGACTCTAAGGGTGTCGTATTCACAGACTTGTCTGTGAGAGCTACATCAGTGAATGGGCAACTTGAAAGACTGAAAGGCTGGCGTTACAAATGGGGGGTTGTTTCAGACCATCCTGACTTTTTTGGAGAGGTAAATATCCACATCTGAGCACGTTAACATTTTCTGATTTCCAAAGTGACAGTGGCTCTGCTCCCTCATTCAGTTTTTGTAAAAATGTTGACATTGTCCTTTGCTTTCTTGCAAATTGAGAGCTGCCTTTCATGATTTGCTTAGGTTGTTGTCAAGGATGCTTGCATGATGTTTTGAGTAACTCATTCTTTTTTCTGTTACATTTATTGAAAGACATCTTCAGTACTTCTTCCAGTCACTCTCCTGCAGAAGTCCACTGATGCAGATATCAAAGGACATTGGTTTTAATGAATAAGCATTTAGTTTTCCCTTTCCTCAGGCTTAAGGGAAGTTTACAATGGTTTGAATTCATTTCTCCAGGTATGAATTTAATGCTGCCAAAGGGATCACTCTGGAAACACTTTTATTCCATATTGTTTAGTGACATTCTGAAATGTATGGTGGAAAAAAAACCACTAAAAAACAACAATAAACCCATTCTCACTGAATCACACTGGATAGGTAAATGCTGGGAAAAGTATTTGCACCAGATACTTTCAAGGGCCGTTCGCTCCCTGCACCTCTTCACAGTGAGGGGCAGTTTGGCTGAGCGAGGCCCTGCAGGCTGACACTGCTGGAGCGGCCTGGCAGTGGTGGCTGCAGGCCTTGCAGCTCTGCTCTGTGGAGCAGGTGGACCCCCCAGCCTGATGTCCCTCTGGTTTACTGGTTTGCAGGGGCAGCCGAACCAGGGTGGTTGGTGGTCCTCCTCCTCTTCTGCAGTGGTTCCCAGCTGGAGCTTGCTCGGGGACCTGGCAGAAGAGCTTTAGCTGGTGTGACTTGTTTTCTGTGTGACTGGCTCCCTGAGCTGGCTCTCTGCAGGGCAGTGAGGGTCCTGGTGGTGGGTCCGCAGGGTCTGGGGATCCCTGAACGAGAGAGCTGGAGCCTGTGGCCAGAGGGCAGAGCAGCCAGCTGCCAGGCTGGCTCAGCTCCAGGAGACCCACACCCCGGCTCAAGCAGTCGACCCTGCACTTTCATCCCCGTTGGTTTAAACTGTCCTGTGGTAGCTCCCTGCTAAGCTGAAGAGGAAGAGGTTGAGGATCGATGGCTGGAGCTGCAGAAGGCCGAGCAGAGCACAGGCAAGCGTGAGGGGAAGCAGGGAGGGGTTAGAGGCTGGAGCCAGGGGGGACAACTCCTCGGCCAGGGGAGGACGGGCGGCAGAGAGGAGCTGTGGGCTCCTCAGTGTTTCCCACCCAGGCCTGCTTGGTGTTGCCGAGGCAGGCGTCGGAGGTCCTGCCTTTTTGTCTTGTTTTCCTTGGCCGTTGAGATAGTTGGGCTAACCCAAATTGGTTTGGAGAGTGCCTTGAGGGGGACACCCGTGTTGCATGAAAAGTATTAAAAAGTCGTGGTGTTGTTATTAAACACTAATGATGATTTAATGATTGTGCCTTTTGTCTGCGCTTTCTGGTGTTTGTACCTGGAGTAAGAGCTGTGCCTCTTTTTATCCTTCCAGCCCATGCTGCTGAATCAGGGCTGCTGCCTCTGCAGGAGGTCAAATAAAACATTTCCCGCCCTGGAGACAAATGACAAAGCCTTTAAAAATATATGTGTGTCTCCCGGTGACAGCTGCTCCCCAAACCTTCCATGGCAAATTCCATTGTCTTGTGATACTTACAGCGAAGGGCCCAGCAGGTTAGCTGCCTGCTCCTTTGCTTTCAAACCGCAGCAACCTCAGTCACTCTCATGGGGGTTTGCATATTCTATTTTTTAATCCTTAAGCCTGCAGAAGACCTTCTGTCTGAATAGTGCTTGTTTGAACCTTTTCTGAGGATAGTATCTGCTGCATTTGTCCTTCTGCAGAAGATTTTAAATGTAGCTTTATTTTAGGTCTGTTGTTCAAATGAAACAGTTCACCAATCAAAGTGTTTATTTTAAAAAAAAAGATAAAGGAAGAAAAAGTAGAGAGAGAGAGGGAATAATTTTCTGGTTTGAAATATTTTTAAAAAACAAAATACTTCATCAAGCTACTGAACTTCATTGCTCTTTTAGCTCCTTTTGCTTTTGTCATGAGGCCAAGCTGAGGCCAGACAAGGGGACGACAGGATGAGATCATCCAGGGAGCTTTGTCAGAAAAGGACAGTTCGGTACCTCTGCAGAGAGGGAGAGAGAGGAAGGAGCCTCAGGGCAGAACTGTGCAGAAAAGGTACTTTAGCAATCACTGAGAAGCTACAGCAAACAAATGCTGTGATAGCTTGGCTGGGCAGCTGAGTGTTAGATGTTCGATAGCAGAGATAGCAACCCCTCTTTGATATTGCTTTGTTTTCAGTCCCTTAGGCTCTGCCTTGGCGTGCTTCTGGTCTTACTTTTCAAGAGCAGTATTACTTAATAATCTTAGTTTTATATGAAGCATAAACTAAAATTTTGTGGCGCCTGAAGATTTTACATTGTTTGTTTCTTAAGCTTTAATCATTGTAACATAACTGTAAAATAATAGGGCTGTTCCTAGTTGATATGATACCAAAGCTATGAATAAATTGGACAAAAGATATTTGCAGCGAGAGTACTTGGGAGTGGTGTTAAAACATCAATGGGCAAGAATACTGAGACCTCAAGTATGTCCTGATCAGAGTGTATCACGTAATATGTTTTACTGCCTGGTTTCAAAGCAATATTATAGATTGGGCAAAGTGTGTTTTGGGGTGTTTTCAAATCAAGCTTACAGAAATGAGAGGAAAGGAGAGAAGAAATGAGGGTCCAGTAGAAATGAGGAAAAGGAAGAAAGTAAGGATAACCTAGATTATGGGGGACCGTAAGGCTGGATGAATGCTTTGCCTCAGTTTCCACTAATAATGCTGACATTATCTATGGAGACAAGGCAAAGCAAGGCAGCTAAAAGGATTACAAGTATAGAATGGAAATTACTGCAGCCAGGGCTGATGGCATCCCTCCAGCCTGAAGGGACTAAATGATC